TACTGTTGTCTTTCACACAAGCCCTCAAAATAGACTGGGTGCGTTCCTCTCGCCGTGCACAGTAGGTTTGGACCAGCTCAGTAGCTGGAGCTGCATGGTTGCCCCCAGCCATGAGCCCAGAGTCCTCCAAAGGCAGGGGGCCTGCGATCAGACCAGGCAGGATGGCCGCTGACTGGGCTCTGACCGGGCCTGCAGGACACCGGCCATCCACACTGCAAGGGGCTCCAGCAGGGTCTCCGGCCCCCTGAACATCTCACTGCCTTAGGGTTCCCAGTGCCGCTGTCCCTGGAGAACCCCAGAAACCATCCCCACGACGAGGCTGTGCCCACGGCAAGGCTGATAGCTGTCGCCCTCCCGAGCTGCTGATGAGCCAGGTGTTCGCTCTCGCTGCTTCACGGACCCCTCATGACGGCCCCGTGGGAGGACAGGACACCCCTGGGTTCCCCGAGGACGCTCAGAGACCTCAGCAAATTGTCTGACTGTCACAGAGCCTGGCAGCGGCTGTGCAGGGAGCAGAACCCAGGCTGAGGCTTCCGGCTCCTTCCCTCCCCTCTGCCACCCTCTCCCTGCTCCACAGGGCCAGCAGCCTCCCCTCCTGAGACTCAGGACGTGGATGACAAAGGAGCACCTGAGCCAGAGCCCCACGGCTGGGGTGCCCCTCACCCAAACCCCGGTCCCCACCCCACGTATGCTAAGGACTCCCAGGCCCGCTCCCTCCAGGCCCGGCTTGCTCTGGAAATGCTGAGCCCCACTGGCCCTGGAAGAAGCTGTTTCAGGGCTTCCAGATGCCACCTCGCCCCTGGGCGCCGATTCACCAGCCGCTGCCATCATTCGGTGCCCATTAGAACGAGCAGGAGCCACACGTGCATTCCCTTCCCAGCCCCAAAACAGGCCTGGGGGGCCATGCTGGGTGCCTCCCCCTGCTACTCCTTTTTCCCTCCGCTCCTCCGGGGAAGGAGCCCCGGCGCCTGCCCTTGAGGGACACGCAGAGCAGACCTAGAAAGGCTGAGGAGCGACCATCCGGCTGCTCCGGTCATTTCGTCACTGGTCCTGCAAACTCTCAAGCTCCTGCTCCGTGACTGTGGACTTGGGGCACACAGAGAAGCAACTGCCCCAGGAAAGTGTTCACTTCAGTAGGAGAGGGGGACACCAGACAACAAAGCCACCCGTAAAATACATTTTCAACACCATGAAAGTCAGAGGCCGGGCTCGGCGGGGAACCGGAAGTCCCTCCTTCCTCCTCCAATCTGCTCTGTCAATCTGAGCCTCCACCCTGGGCGGGAGAAGAGCTCAAGCGAAGGGATTTTCAGGGGCCCGAAACCAGGCTCACAGGCAGGGCGGGGAGGGCTGAAGCGGGCTTGGGGAGTTCCTGCAGCTGGTGTCGGGGGAGGCGTGGCCCAGTGTACCTGGGGGCCCCATAAGGCCTGGGGGGCGGCAATTCTGGCTGCAGATGGCTTTGGGTGTCACACTGGAAGCTCCTCCTTCAGGCCTCGAGGGCATCAGTTGGAGCCCACAGGAGTGTCCATTCTGGCCGGGGCCAGGGTGGGGCGACCCTCTCAGAGGCTGTGGCTGTGGGGGGCTGAGGGGAAGGCAAGGAGGGGAGAGGCGTCTGGGAGGCAGAGCCAGGTGACTGAGGGGCCGTGGGAAGTGAGTGACGGCTGGGGGACTGTGAGGAACAACTCTGGCAGACTGGGGGCTGCGGCCCCCACACGGGCAAGTGAGTCTGTCAGCGCAGCGAGGCACCTACTCCCCCTGTGCACCGAGGCCCCCACTTCCCCACCAGGCCCTGCTCCTGGGACAAGAGCACCTCCAGGAAGCCCTCCGACTGCCTCCTCTGACGGCCTCAGCACCCGATTCTCAAATGAATCAGTAATTCACCCACAAACTGCCCCAGGACCCAGGGTGGCAGTGCCCCCATCGTAAGCCCAGTGCTTGGTAGAGACACCCAGTGCTTGGTGCTCAGAGAAAAGCGTGGGTTCTCTCACCAGGCCCCAGGAGAAAGAAGATGGATTTGTGGGTGTAGGAGCCCGAGATGCAGCCCCAGCAGTGACAGGCACCTGGACGGAGGGTCCCTGCTCGGGAGGCCCCTGGCCAGGTCACCTTTTGGTCCCCTACCCAAGCTCATGCTCCTTCCAGAGAGGAAGGGGAGCCCTGGAATTCGGCACTGCAGGCTCCTCCCTGGGGGAAGCTTTCCCCGAGGACCATTCAGGATTCAATTTCCACAAACAAATGGGGTTCGGGGTTAACTGTGCCTTTCTTTCCATTCAGAGGGACTTGTAGTAAATATTTCCTTCCTCCACGCTCATCCTCCTGAGGAAAAGAGAACAGATCCATTAGCAAAGCCCACCCGCCACCACTCTTAGGGGAGAGAGAAATGACATTTTCCCTTGACACTGGAAATACTTAAAAGTCCCAAGAATAGATTTATAGGAATATTTTAACCTTTTCTTTGATCCCTGAAATGTCATTGTTCTGTGGGCTGAATCGCCAACTGTGACCTTTTCCTGGAACCGCCAGGCAGGGAGCCCCTGCTGGCGCTTTGAAAGGAGCATCGAGCTCAGCTCCCCAGCACCCTGTTCCCACCCCAGCTCCAGCAGAGCAGGGAAAGGGCTGGGCATGGACAGGCTAGCAGGGGCCGGCTGGGAGCCAAGCGCAGCCTTGACTTAGCCACCGCCCCTCTTCAGGCCCGTGTGCTAGCACGTGGGGAAGCTCGTGGCACTGACCCCCAAGAGTCATTATGGAGATTAAATGAGATAATGCGTGCTGTGTTTAGCAGTTACTGTTGCACAATACTGAAAAACAAAGGACCCCAAAAGTAGTGGCCGCCAACACCATGCACCTGAAGGGTGGCAGGGGAACAAAGGGATCCAGCCAGGCTTCTGTAAGAGGGGACTCTTCCAGGCCGGGCCCAGGTCCATTCTGTGTGAGCTCACGACGGAGCCACTGGAGTGCAAGGGACCCTGCCTCCTCCTCTCGCTTCTACTGGCCAAGCCCAAGCACACGACTGGGCCAGGTATAATGGCACAGGGCAAAGGTGGCACCTCGCATGAGAGGGGAGAGGGCATTTGCTGGACAGTAATCCAACCAGCCCAGCACAGAAAGCCCCTGGCACTCTGCCTGGCATGTGATAGGGACCCAGAATATGAATTCCCTTTCTTACCACACTGCATCGTGATCACATTCTACAGCCCAGATTAATTAGTCATAATTCATTGTAACAGCACCAGCCCTTTGGCTAAGAGGATGTACCTTAAACTCCAGCACACGTGGGCGGCGGGACTTACGCAGGAGTGAGTCCTCCAGATTCAGAAATGCAACGCCTTTACACTTTCGTACTTTCATTACTTTGATGGAGAAGACATCTCTGGAGGAGGCTTCCTACCTCCCCACCTTCTTGAGCAGAGAATAAAATGCCACTGAATCCATGAGACAGATGTCCTGGGACACCTGGGGTGAGCACTTGCCGTCCTGTCTGTCACTAGGGCCCGGGGGACCTGTGGCCTGGCATCTCCAGGGACAGTTCTCCGCCCTCTGTTTTCGGGGTGTAGGGTTGGGGGAATCTGTCCTCCGTGGGGAGGCTTCTCCCCATCACACGTGAAGGCCGAACCTCCCTGCCATGGGAATCGTGGCACCAGGGCCCACATGGTTCTAATCAGTCCAGCTTTAGAGCTTTAAGCCCGACGAACAGTTGACGGACTCTGAAAGGGTGTAATCTGTTTACTACGTGAGAAAGGATGGGAATAAGAGGGTCGTACAGAAAGCCTGGCGTCCCTGTGCACATCAGGGTATGGAAGGAAGTCTCTGGGTTCAAAACCCAGTACCACCAAAAATAAGTAAATATAAGTAAACAAATAAATAAAATAAAAATAAAGTCACACCTTCTTCCGTGAACACTGATGCTTTTCTCAGAAAATCAGCTACTCTGTTTGAAACACCGCCATCCAAGCTCTTGGAGGGCAGGCCTCTGGCTCTCAGTTTCCACGGAGGTGGGGCTGTCCTGAGTGCCGAAATGTGTGTGTGGGACCGGTGTCCCTTCTCTGGGCACATTTGTTCTTCCTGCCTGCGTCTTCTGAGCTGTTCTCAGGCAATGGCTGATCACTGAGTCCCACAGCCTCCTCGTTATGCCAATAACAGATGCCCATCTGCTCGTCTGGCCAGGACTTTTTGGAGAGGTTTAGGCCAAGAACATACTGTAACAGTTGTCTGTGAAAATAACCTTCCGGCTATGACGGTTAACCCCTTTGTGCTAGGTCCTAGGCTGGCCACACCGAGGGCTAGGGAGGAAGTCAGCCCTCCGGGCATGGCTGAGGACACCCGGATGTCGCTTACACTCATCACTTGCTGGGCACAGGGCACTGAGCGACTGGCTCCCTTTCTGAGCTTCCATCTTCCCACAGGTGCTTAATGGGAAATGCAGCTGTCTCTAAGATTCCAACCAACATGGACAATCTCAGGGTTTTATGACTTCGTGGAGGTAGTAAAGTGGAGTGGGAGGGAAGAAGCCTCTGCAAGGAGTCCAGAGTCCTAGTTCTCTGTTCCGGACCAAAAGCTGTGTCCCCTTGGCCTCTGTTATGGCTTAGATCTACAATGTCCCCCAAGTCCCGTGTGTGTGGAAGGTGACTGGGTCATGCGGACACTGTACTCACCGACAGATGAATCATTCCGTAGCTGAATGTGCTGTCAGGAGATGGGGCCTGGTTGCAGGTGATCACTGGAAGGATCTACTCTTGCCCCTGCTCCTCCCTTGTCTCTCTGCTTCCTGGATGCCATGGGTTGAGCAGTTTTCTTCTGCCAGGCCCCTCCACCACGCTGTTTCTGCATTAGCAAAGCTGACTTTGGACTGAGCCCACTGGAAATTGTAAGCCAAATAATCTTTCCCCCTTTAAATTGTAGATGCTGGGGGTTTTTGGTGGGGGGTTGCCCCCACAATGAGAAAGTGACCAAGCCATCCTCCCTAAGCCTCTATTTCCTCATTTATAAACCCAGAAACATACTGCTGTCCTTCCTTTTTCCTGGTGTCATGGAGAGCATCAGGTGAGACACAGAAGCACGGGTAATGAGAACTGCATTGTCCTGGTTTGGGTGAGGACAGGAGAGTCCCAAGCAGCTCTTCTGAAGTTCCTAGAGGGAACACACATCTCAGAACCCCTGTGGCCCAAAGGAGAGAGCCCCTTTCCCTTCCTCACCCACCACTGTCCATCCCTGAGGAGCTGGTTAGCCAAGGTGACATGAGTGTGTACTGCTGACCAAATTTCCCAAATGCCAGGTCTCTTCCTTCCTTCCACAGACAACAATTGAGTGTTTTCTATGAGCTGAGCGGTGAATCAAGTAAACAAGGCAGGCATGGTCTCTGCCTTCAAGGATCCAACAGTCTAGCAGAGGAGACAGACAATAAGTAAGTCCCTAAGGTCCCAGATAATGTATCTTTCCAAAGTGACAACAACTGGATGAAAAGAAGGTGAGTTAACAGCATACAAGAAAAGCAAAAATGACTGGTTAGCATGTGAAACTCTGATCCCAATCCTGGGCACAGAGTAGGTGTTTATTAACATACTATGACAGATGTGATGCTAGAGGGTGCTGTGTGCTAGTCAGCTTTCCTGTTGCTGAGACACGATACCCAACACCCACAACTCTTAAGAGAAGAGGTTCATCAGCTATACCACTGCTGGGTGTCTTCCCAAAAGAATTAAAAGAATCATACCACAGCGATACATGTGCACCCATGTTTATAGCAGCACAGTTTGTAATAGCTAACACTTGGAAATAGCCCAAATGCCCATCAACTGGAGAGTGGATAAAGAAGATGTGGTTTTTCTATAAAAAAGAATGAGAAACTAGAGACATTTATAGCTGAATGGACGCATATTGAGGCCATACTCGTAGGACACACGTGTAAATACTGAATAGTTTCTCTGGTGGGAAAAACTAAAAGTGTAAATAAGGTTCAAATTGTATAATTGTTAAGGTGAAATAGGAAGAAAAGGGCTAAAGGAGTAAGGGAAATGGAAAGGGCAGTGGAAAGGAAAGAAGGGAAAAGAAAAAATAGGAGAAAAGGAAAGAATGGAAACAAAGTCTTTGTGATTGTGCTGTGTACCTAACATGCACCAATTAACTTAACGAGGAGGAAAAAGAAAAGAGAGCAGAGGTTACTTTGACTCACGGTTTCCAGTGGGTTCAGTCCACGGTCAGCTGGCTCCAAGGCAGAAGTGGCCTGGGGGAAGAAAACTGCTCCTGTCATGATGACCAGGAAGCCCAGACAGAAAGGAGCCTGGGACAAGACGACAGGTCCACTGAGGACGCTGGTGCCCCCCGAGCCAGTCATGTTCCACACATATGAGACTTTGGGGAACATCTGAGATTCAAACCATAACACCCTGTTACTGAGGAAGAGCACAGGAGGGAGGACATGGTGACCACGGTGTGACACCAGAGATAATTAGACGCAAACCCAGAAGACAGGAGGGAGAGTGTTCCAGGCAGAGTCCTGTGAGCCGATGGCCAAGGCAGGTAACAGCTTGGGGCCGGGCTTCAGGAAGACCGTCCGTGTTAGAGGGGACAGTGCGGGGGACAGACTTCAGGACAGAGAGGTCCACTAGGAGGAAGCTACTAAAGAGGAGGTGATCGTGCCAGTGTCACGACCTAGGGACAGCAAATAGTGAGGATATGGATATTACTGAGGAGATCAGGTCCAAGGGACATAGTGATTTCTTGAACTGAAGAGGAAATGGGTGAGTTGAGGGCACCAGAAGGGTGACAGAAACCCTAGCCAATGGCTCCTAGAACTTGAAGCTGTTTCTGGACAAAGTCCTGGATGCAAAATCCTCCCTGGGTGATACTGACACCAGTCTAGATCAACGCCTGGCCTTGAACCATGTTTTGCTCACATGGGTTCATATCAGAGGCCAGGAATGGAGAGAGACACCTCGCCTCAGGTGACTCCCGGGTCTCTGCCAGCTTCATGGCTGCAAACCCTAATGTGGGGCCCAGCCCCCCGCCAAAGGAAAGGCACAGGCTCCAAAGTGGAAACAGCGCCCGGGTGAAGCAGCATCTGAGCCTGAGACTGAGCAACTTCTAAGAACAGAAGTTTATTTGGCTCACAACTTGCCAGGGTGAGAGGTCCAAAGTCAAGGAGCTGGCAGGTTTAATTGCCTCGTGAGGTCTGCTCTCTTCTTTTAAAACCACCACATTGGTGACACTGGAATTTTGGAATGGACACTTTCACACCATAGCAAGAGAAGAAAGGGGATGACGGAGCTCTGCTGCCATCTCCCCCATTGCTCAGGGCTGCTGGGCTGGAGTCTGGCCCCTAGGAATGAGTGGCTCAGGTGTAAGAGACAGGAAAAGGAAGCGTATGAGAGAACGACTTTCCACACAGATAACCCCTCTCAGGCTTCCAACAAACATGCCCTCTCTCATGCTTTTCTCACAGTAGGACAATGGCATCTTCCATCAAGAAGCCTCCTCCCCTCCAACGTGTGTTCTCAGCCAACAGGAAGAGACAGAAATGGTGCCTATGGCTTCCACACCTCAGTCATAAAAAGCCATATGGCACCCTTCTCTCCTCTCCTCTTCTCTCTCTCTCTCTCTCTCAATCTCTCTCTCTCTCTGCCTGTCCTCACTGCAACAACAGCCACTGGACACTGGGGTTCAGAATTGAGCCCCCAGTCTTCAAATCTTCCAGCCAAAGAGACATGTGATGGTTTAGAGCTAAAATGGCCCCCAAAGCCTTACACATCTGGCAGGTGATTGGGTTGGCGGATGAGAATCTGGCTTCCTGTTAGGAAGTAGAGTCTGATTGGAAGAGGTGGTCAGTGGGGCGTGGCCTGGCCGGTCTAGCTCCCTTCCGGGCTCCTCCCTTTTCTTCCTGGCCCCCATGACAGAGCAGCCCTCCTTCCTGGCGGGCCCTTCCTCCGTGCTGTTTCTGCACTTAGCCTGGAGCTGTGAGCCACAGTGATGACGCCTGCCTCCACTAAACCACAGATGTCCAGTATTGCTCTCAGTAGTGAGAGAGCGACTAAGACACCACAGACACAGTGTAGGAGAGGTGAGGCATCCTGCCAGGCCCTGTCTGAATTTCTGAACCCCAGAAACTGAGGGATAATGTTTAACTGCTGTCCTTTCAAGCTATCAAGTTTTGGGGTGATTTGTTATGCAGCGATCAGTAAGTACTATGAGGAGTCACTACCAGGCCTACATGGGGAGGGGTTAATTTCGTGTCATTGTCACCTGACTTCATCACTCCTGAGGTGGGCCAGCACCGCAGCAGAGCACCTCCCACTTAGCACGACTCGCTCATCCCATGGCCCTTTGCAGCCTGAACTATTATCAGCCCATTTTACGGAAGAAAAGTGAGTCCAGAGCAGGAAGGGATCTCCCCAAGATGGTGCAGTAAGAGTCTGTGGCCAGGGACCCTCATCCTGGTCCCCCCGCACTCCCCATGGGGGTGAGCTTTACACCACCTGTCACCTTTCCTCTAACAAGGCCAGGAGGCAGAGGTGGGTGCATTTTCCCCTCCCACTCAGTGCCGACCTCTGTCATTCCAGCCACGCAGCTGTGCCGGGGCGGAGGGGAGATGTGGCCAGGAGACGGTAGGATCCAGTGCTCCACCTGACAGAAGATACCCTCTCCACACTCGGAGAGGCTCAGACGGCAAAGCAGTTTCCATGTCTCCGGCTGGAAAGCCCAGCAGATTTATCCCTCCGTGGGGTCAGACGGCCGCTGCATTTCACCATCAGGCCCACAAGCGCCTCATCCTCTGGAACTTTATTCCATCAAATATGCATTTGTTTGGTTTACGGGCTACTGAAGACCCAGGTCCACCGGGTCCCGCCAGCCACGGGCTGGCCTGGCAGCGTCCTCTCTTCCCGCTGTGCTCATGGCCCATTGTGTGGCAGCATGGCCACTCCTGCTGTCCCTTCCTGGCCTCCCTTCGGGCAAAGAGGAGGTGCCCCTGGGCTCTGCTCCCGTCTTAGTGACTTTCTTCATTGCTAAGACAAAATACCTGACACCTGCCACTTAAAGAAGGAAAGGGTTATTTGGGCTCACAGCTGACAAACATTTCAGTCCACAGTTCGGGCTCCAAGGCAGGGCAGCCTGGCAGGGGGGCAGGGCAGTGGAAAGCAGAGAGAGCTGGAGCAGATAAACCCTTCCGGATCACCCCACACACACACACCATGACCTAGGCCTTCCCTCCCAACAGAAAGTCAGTTATGATCCCCCATAATCTGATTGCCTTCCAAAAGTCCCACCTGTGATCACATGAGGTTTCACACCTATCTAAACAGTAACAGCTCATTTGCCAGGGCAGCCTCCCTAGAGGACAGTGGGTACCCCAGGGCTAAGGGCGCTCACCCGGCTGGTGTTAGATCTGCAGGCACAATATTGCTATATTCTAATGACAGCTGGTGGCGCTGGCCACGTGCCAGCACGCTGCAGAACACTGTGTCCATTTGCCACTTATTCACCCCGTAGGCCTGAGCTGGATGCCCAGGTCTTCTCCACTGACCTCAGGACCTTGAGTGACCACTTGACTTTTGTAAAGCTGGCTTCTCTGTCACACTGCCTCTGGCTTCGGGAGGGGCCAAGTCTCCCCAGGGTCGACCTGGACTTGTCAAAGTGGGAGATCAACAAGGGCTGGGACTGTGTTACAGACAGGCCAGCCCCACCAGACTCTCCTGCGGGAAAGAAAGCACGCTCCTTGGAGACAGGGCGAGATTTCCAGGGTGCCTGGAGGGCTCGCAGTCACTGGGGAACCATATGTTACCAAAGCCTGGCCCCAGGGCTGCCTGTCTCTAATCTGGGATTGGTTCACTCATCTTCACCCCAGCCCACAGTGCCGACTCGGTCACTTCTCCCTCCTGGGGGAGGCCACATGCCATACTCGCCCCATCCTGAAAGCTGGCACACAGCAGGTGCTCAGGAAGGTGTGCAGGGAAGGGAGAGGAGGGGACAACAGAACAGCCTGGCCTCTGAGTGGGATGTGTGGGTTTCTATTGCAGCGAAGGCTGATTCATATTTAATTCTCTTTTTTTAGTAAGTAAAGTGGGCTTTCTTCATGTTTGGATGGAAAGCACATACCCTCAGCAACCTATTGTGGGAAAATCAGGCTTTATTGTAAAAACAATTGTGCCAGATTTAAAGCAGGGATTAAAATTGAGGCTTGTTAAGTGTGGTCATTAATACATCAGGCTTTTTCTGTGGCTGGGGAGGGAAGTTATTCCTGTCTGTTTACCGAGGCAGGCAGAGATAGCCCAGGAGGTGCAGGGGTCCCTGAACCCCAAGACCCCCCGATCCTTTGGGGAGGAACAGAGCAAAAAATTAGGAATTCTCCTTGCAAACAGAAAAAGAGAACATATGGCCTGCTGAGGGATATTTATTCTTATCTGAAAATATATTTATAGATAAAGGTTCACAATTGCATACATTTTAAAGCCCCTGTAGTTGCACATTTAGCAAGTCTCTCTATTTACAACGTATGCCCAGGAATTCTGGAGCCAGAGCTGAGCCTACCCGGCCTCACATTCCTTATAATTCCTCAGGGGTGAAAGGCCTGACTTCTGGTGACCCAGCACTGGGGAGGAAAGGGGCTGAGAGAGGAAGAGGAATCAGGAAATGTCCCATCTCTGGGTATTTTTTTTATGCCAGAAGTATTGAAGATGGAGTCCTCGTCCTCCAGCCTCCTTCAAGCCACCTTCACAAAAGCTGGTCTCATTTCGAAGGCTCACAGAGGGGGAGATCCACCCTCTTGAGGCAGCAAAAGGAAAAAAGAAAAGCGAAGGGCGTGTGGAAAGGGCTGTGGAGTAAATCTCAAAAGGTCTCAAGAGCCAAAATTGTACTGACTTGAGGAACAAGACAAATAACAACGGTGTCTGTGACAGTTAATCTTGTCAACTTGCTCGGATTGGGAAACACCTACCAAGAGTAGAGCACACTTTCGGTTGTGTCCGTGGGGGAAGTTGCAGAGATGATTGGCATGTGAGACAGCGAATAGGGTGAAGACCTGCCCTGAACATTTGTTGTATCACCCAATAGGGTGTGAGCCAGGATGGAACAAGAGAAGGAGGAAGAAGTTGGCCAGCACAGGCTCTTTCTGTCTGTCTCTGCTTCCCGGATGTCATGAAGTGAGCAGCTTTGCTCTACCAGGACTTTCCTCCATGAGATTTCTGCCTCAAGTCAGGCCCACAGCAATGAAGTCCCCAACCACGGACTGAAACCTTTGAAACCATAAGCCTTTCAAACCAAATAAACCTTTCCTCCTTAAAGTTGTTTTCTCAAGTATTTTGTCACAGTGATGAAAAACTAACACGGTATCGAATTCTAACCTGAAGAATAAAATCACCATCCAGGAGTTCACATTGACACAAATAGACACCTGAATAAATCAGTGGGAGAAGTAACAGCACTTCCTTCTAGAAGGAATCCCAGTTATAGACATAGAAGGAAAATAAAGCACGTCCCTGGTGATTGCCAGAGATAAGATCCCTGGAAGGAGTCTAAAATGATGGGGTGTAAGTTTAAGCAAGGACAGATATACGTACTCCACCCAGTACTAAGTATAAAGGGAAAATAACCAGCTTATTGTGGAGAATCCCAGCAGAAGTCACCTGAACCAAGGGAGGAAGGCTGAAATCACTAGTTGTGTGTCACCAACACATGCCAACATCATCTACCCCTTCGGTGACATACATCCTTCTGCAGTCATCCAACCCAGTTTGTGACTCTCCAGAATCAGGACAACACTCAACAAACTCAAATCAAAGATATTCTACAAGATAACTGGCCAGTGCCCCCCAAGCGTGCCAAGGTCATAGAAGACCAAAAAGCAGCACAGACTG